TCTGAGGTTGATAAACTAAAAACTCGTCCTCGCATTGATTTCTCTTCCATTTTCAACATGGTGAGGATCTTATTTGTTTTATGACTAACGTCTGGCAGAAACTTTTTTGAAATTTATATAATTCTTGTCATTAAAAAAAATAAATCCTGACCACTAAATTGATTTGTTCGACTTAAAACTCAAAATTTTTCAGGTCCAGCCCATTGTTGATGATGTTCGTACTAGAGGGGATGTTGCAGTAAAAGAGTTAATGCTTTTTGCATTTATATCTTTGTTTTATTTATCTCATATGTGATTGCGGGACTTGGATTTGAATTATTTACTATTGTCTATGTGTTACATTATCTTGATTAAAACAATTAATCACAATGCAGTTTAACTCTCAACTGTGGCCTAAATAGAAACAAATGAAACTTAGGTGAAACTTGAAAGAACTTGCTGGGCTAAGAAAATTATTACTCCCAAAGTTTTTTAAGTTCCCAAGTAGAGCATTTAAAGTTTAAATGTAGTTTTTCTTTAGAATTACTTATGTCATAGATAAAATTATGCTTAACCTGTGTAAAAGCCAGCTGTTTCACGTGATCCAATCTTAAGAAGTATTTTGTTAATGCAAAATTCCTGGATGCATGCCTACTTTAATTTAGGGTCAAGATCATATGGTATTTTCTTTCTTATAGTGATGTTTTTAAGTTCTAACTTCTAAGTACATTAGTTGGAATTATTTGCTTGAATTCAAAGATTCTTATATCCTGTTCTTTAACATTCAAAGTACAGAAAGAAAGTAAATTTGTTAATCAAAATGGATGCCAAGCCAATATAGATGTTAGTGTTGTATTATTTGTGTTTTGATACTTTTTGACAGCTATACCATCCGGTATGACAAGGTTGAACTGGACAAAATGGTTGAAAATGTCAATGAACTTCCTGACCCAGAGGTATATACCTCCAGTGCTTAATTAAATTTTAAATACAATATTTTTTTTAATATGATTCTAGAGATTGAGGTTTTGTAATTTGGATATTGAATTTCATATGAAGATAGTTCTTACTATGTTTTGACTCATCCTCTAGAGATATGCTACTGGACACTTGTTTTCCTTGTTTCAGCTTGAAGCAGATGTTCGTGAGGCATTTGATATAGCATATAACAATATATATGCCTTCCATGCTGCACAAAAGCCTGTTGAGAGAACTGTTGAGAACATGGCTGTAAGTAATGATTATGTACTAGGATGTACTTAATCAGTTAATCTTATCTTATAGTGGATTTTCATGAACTCTTGAGTTTTCACGTCAACAGGGTGTTAGATGCAAACGTGTAGCTAGGAGCATTGCTTCTGTGGGTCTTTATGTTCCTGGCGGAACTGCTGTTTTACCTTCAACTGCTCTGATGCTTGCAGTTGTATGATGGTTTAGCTTACTGTTTCAGTTAATATGAATGTTTCTTCCATTATGATTTTTATTTGATAGTTACTATCCACTTAATGGAAGTGAGGTTGAATTTAGACTTTTTTCTTTTGACCAGCCTGCCCAAATTGCTGGGTGCAAAACTGTTGTACTTGCAACTCCACCCACTCGGGACGGTAACATCTGCAAGGTATTTTTTTTTAATGGTATTTTTATTTCAATTATATGTCAAACAAATTTCCCATTGAAATTGATTGAACATTTCTTTACAGGAAGTTCTTTATTGTGCCAAGAAATCTGGTGTCACTCACATTCTTAAAGCTGGGGGTGCTCAGGTTTGATTCATGGTCCATACTGCTCACAAGATTCTTAAGTTTTTTTTTTATGATAGTGGCATAATTTACAGTGTTTGACTTTTCTGCAGGCCATTTCTGCTATGGCTTGGGGAACAGAATCTTGCCCCAAGGTACTGACGAATTTATACCTGATGTACTTTTGTTACCGAAGCTAATCATGCTTTCTTTATTAGAGTTGAACTTTTTGCATATCCCTACATGTTCTGTATTAAATGTTGGCACCGGAAATACTATTTATGTTGTAACATTCTTTGAATTTTGCTGATAGCTTATCAGTGGTGATGTATATGTAATTAAATCAATATGCATTTATTCATGCATGGCTACCTAAAAGTAAAAATCTTTTGAACTTAAATTAAAGAGATGAAGAAGAGGGTGGGAGGAGGGGGTTGTTCATGGAGTATGGGGAACAGAAATGTCCTGTCTGATCTGTCCATTCTTATGTCTTAATTAGTTGTACATTGACTACATAGGAAGTTGCTAAATTATGATGTCCCCAAGCACAGTAGCTTCTTGGTGACATAATGGTGGTCTATCATGTCTTCTATGTCATTATTCAATTCTAGATTTTGGATCTTTTCTAGCCAGATCTTTGTAATCTATTGTGACTATTTAAGCTCCCATGCCTGTATATGTGTTATCTAAGTACGTGTGATAATGTGATATGCATCTAAAATGATAAAGAGGATCACAGTAATATGTAAACTGTAATATGACAGGTTGAGAAGATATATGGCCCAGGAAATCAGTATGTGACTGCTGCAAAAATGATTCTTCAGGTATTCACTATCCAAGGCATTAAAAGCTTGCTAACCTTTATTTTCGTGTGAATGGTGTTAATAGATCTCTGCTATGTTTGTATAAATTTAGAGTTTTAGCTGTTTTCCAATGTGTTCTTTTTTTGACAGAATAGTGAGGCTATGGTTTCAATTGACATGCCTGCTGGACCATCAGAAGTTCTTGTCATAGCTGACAAGAATGCTACTCCAGCTCATGTTGCTGCAGATTTACTTTCTCAGGTCTAAACGTTTGTTCAACTCCTTTCTTCATTCTAATTTTAACTTCAGACTAAATGTTGAGGTTTGAGGCTTTTTTGATTAGACCACGAGGTGTCCTGAGTAGGCCCTAACTATAGGAGGGACCTTTAAGTCCGTACAATACTCAGACTAATCCCCGTTTGCACCGGGCCATCCCAATTAAGGGGCATAGTGCTAGCCATATTGGTTTTTCCATACGAGAGGAGGTTTTGAACTCCCGACTTCTCTTAAGGGATGAGAGTGCACGGCCACTCACGCCAACCAAGCTAGTTGAGGTTTGAGGCTTTATTCACTGGAATTTTTTGATGTGGGAATAGAATAAATGTTGGGAAATGAAGGTAGGAATTTCTGGGTTGGCATTAACGTATTAGGATTCTCATGTCTAACTCCACAGGTATTTTTCATGGGTGATTAATAAAATGGACATAATCCGTATTAAATTGTCAAAAAAGGAAAAAAAGAAGAAGAGAGGATCATTTGAATCAGTGAAAAAACCGGTGTGAAACTATCATCTCTGTATCTATGCATCAGTGACATTAGTTGCATATGAATCGTCATGCTACCTACTTGGTTGATCAAATGAATGACTGTTTTGTGGTCGACTCTCCAACTTACAGGCAGAACATGGCCCAGATAGCCAGGTTGTTCTCGTAATTGTTGGGGACGATGTAAATCTAACTGCTATTCAGGAGGAAATCAACCAGCAGTGTCGAAGCCTTCCAAGGGGAGAATTTGCTTCAAAAGCACTTGATCATAGTTTTACAGTACTTGCACGTGATATGATTGAGGTACATTGTCTACCCTTTGCTTTCTTGCATAAAGTAAGACATTGCTTGATTAGGTAGAGATGTGGTTTATACCTTTAACTCCCTTTTGTAACCGCTTACTCTAATTTCCATCTTGGAACAGGCGATTGCTTTTTCAAACACGTATGCACCCGAGCATCTTATCATAAACGTAAAAGATGCTGAGAAGTGGGAGAGTTTCATTGAGAATGCAGGTACGTTTGTAGTTTTGTTTTCACTAGTAACTATTTATGACGGAGCACCTCATAACATATTCGCGAGAAATCGCTTACTTAGAATACTCCCGGGGGGTAGGTTCTGTGTTTTTAGGACAATGGACACCGGAGAGTGTAGGCGATTATGCCAGCGGGACAAATCACGTCCTCCCAACTTACGGCTATGCACGGATGTATGGCGGGGTGTCTTTAGACTCATTCCTTAAGTACATCACGGTGCAGTCTTTGACTGAGGAAGGGCTGAAAAACCTAGGGCCTTGTGTGGCCACCATGGCTGATGTTGAAGGCTTGGAAGCCCACAAGAGGGCAGTCACCCTCAGGCTGCAGGACATTGAAGCAAGACAAGCTTCTCGTGCAAGATAATAAGAAGACGAGATGGATTCAAGTGTAAACTTACAGACACAGTGGAGTGAAGTTTTGTTTGTTCATTTCTTGTCTACATACAATTGCCATTCCTAAGATGTTTTAGTGTTTTACCATGAACTTATATATACAAGTAAAAATGTCTGCGTTCTAGTTTGGTTCACAGTTCATAAATAGCATGAATCGTAATTTTATCGGTTATCCGGATTATTTATTTATTTATTTTTTAAAGCATTTCAGGTTTTAACATTTATGGCGTAGAAACTTGAAAAATATTTTTTGAAAAATTATTATTTTTTAGAAAACAATTTAATTTTTTAATATTTTGTTGAAAGTTAGAAGATTATCATTTTCTAATAAAATAAGTGTTTCATTCCATTATTCTTCATACATAATCAAATAGCAATATTGATAATTATTTTCATTTTACTCTATTACCAAACATGCAAAATACTTTAATCAAAATTCATTACTATTACTGAGTATTCGATACTCTTTCATTTTGATTCCCATGTGCGAACTAAATACACTCTATATTGATATATTTATAGTAAAGATAATGCAATACAATTAATCGCCAGTGTGGCGGGAAACATGATATTTTTTTATTTATCAAAAACTTGTGACTTTTTTTTTTTGATAACAAACTTGTGACTTTATTATAGTTATTATTATTATAAATAAATAGATAGATTACAAATTAAAGTCTTGTGTGACAAATTTAACAAAAAATGTATTGAAAATAATTAACTGAACTTTTAGGCTAGTTACCATTATTATTACGGAGTACTCCGTATTATTTATCAAAAAAAGGCATGTGGGCAAAGCCGCGAAACACAAGTGAAGATGCTTTGGTTCCGCGGGAGCACACTTGTATCAAAGACCTGCTGGACTCAACGCCATCTCTTCCGTCGCCTCCGCTGTCAACTCTACTCCTCCATTTCCTCCGCTTCCTCATCCAAAGTTCGCACGGCGGCTCATGTTCGTTGCATATTCTGCAGTTGAATTGTATTGCTAGTAGTATTTGCAGCAGCGAAATAGTCCGCTAACAATTGAGTACTAATTTCCGCAGGAATCAGCGTGCATTGATGGGGACTGTGCCGATTTTTTGCCGTGGCTGGAGCTCAACGCCGGAACGGAGATATCTTCCGTTCTTTCAATCGGAGAATCCGCATATGGAAGGTCCTGATGTTTACGCTATTTTCCTTTCCAAAATTGATGCATTTATAAGTTATAACCTTATATTTTGCACACACACGTGAATAAACAATGAAGACTGAGTTTCTTAACGTTATTTTGTCATTACTGTGTCGGTGCTTTTGGATGTCATCGAGTTTTGGTTGCATAGTTTGCAATGTGCATATAGTTTAATTAATGCCTGGTGTCCCTGAATTATTGGTGAATCGATTTATTTTTATTTGATTACTTTCATTGTTAATGCAATACCAGATAAACAGAAATGAGCATACCTGATATTCATGAGTATCTGCAGGAGCTTGTTTGCTTGTAGGCCTATAAAAGCTGGGGATTGTATATTGAAGGTTCCTTACAGTGTGGTATGCCAATTATTGACGAAAATTTTTGTGTATGTTTGCTTTTCATATCAAGCTTTGACTGACGAAACATGATAATTGCAGCAATTGTCCTCAAATAACCTTCCTTTGGGACTCAATTCCTTGTTAGGGGATCAAGTTAGTAATGTGGCGAAAGTTGCTTTATTTGTTCTGTATGAGCAGCAGCTGGGTGAGGTAAAATTTTCACATGCTTTAGCTTCAGTCAGGTGCCTTCTTCTACTTGTAGTTCTGTGTGGAGGACACTGATTGAAATTACTTTGTTTCCCCACATTGCCTGCAGCAATCTGAATGGGCTCCTTACATCAGTCGTCTTCCACAACCTACAGAAATGCATAGCACGGTAGATGTTTATATATATATATTGTGATTAAAGTAATTTTGTATCAACATGTTGATAGTGGTGATAGTGTTATCTTTATTTGACATGCTTATTAGGAGAAAACTGTTCATATATTTGTAAGCTTACCTTTGCCATTCATAGCTCTGTTATCTGACTAGGATTCTTATTTATTATTTTTTGCGGTATTGAGTTTAAATGATTACACTAAGCAATTAAGCCTGCAGATATTCTGGGATCACCATGAATTAGAGATGATTCAACAAAGTCCACTATATCAGGAAACAATTAGGCAGAAGAAAATTGTTGAAACTGATTTTTTGGTGATTATGGAGGTTAGTACCTGAACTTCAATTTTTTGCTTGGTCCAATTTCTCTCCTGATAGCAGTTATTGTCAATACCAGCAGTATCCCCTGAAATTAGTTTTTTATTGCAGTGTTTCAGTTCATTTTTCTCCCCTTCTCCATTTGCTTGACTAGTTCACTTCTCATCAGTCAAAAAGTTACTGTATTGAGTCAGTAGTAGATTATTTTTAAAACATGTCATTCTTAAAAAGGGGTTTTGATGACAACTTTGAATGATTAAGGAACTGAATATGTTTTAGCAAATCCTAGTGGGACAATTTATTTTTCTATATTTAAGCCTTCTGGGCAATGATGCATCCCTGTGGTAACTGAGGTTTACAGCTGACGGAATTGTTTGTTGAATATTCATTTGCAAAAATATTTTGAACTAACTAATGTATGGCTTTTTGTATAACACATTTCCAGGCTCTAAGTCACTTCCTTGAACATCACCTAGTCATCACATTAGAGGACTTTAAGTATGCATATGCTTTAGGTAAATGTTTTGTACTCATAACACGTTTCTTTGCTGGGCTAGACTATTATTGATGAGCTTGTATTGAACATTTCAGTGGGTTCTTTGTCAGTATGGATTTAACATTTTACATATCCTTTTGATTAGCTTTTCATCAAACATTTCAGTTACTTCTCGAGCATGGGAAAGCTCCAATGGTGTATCCATGGTACTTAATTATAAGATCTGTACTTGCTTATGATCGATAGATAAATGTATGTGATGACTAATCAATTGGCACACTGCTACTGACATTTTCATTCCTTTAATCTACTGTTTTTTGCTTTTGAGAGATTAATTTGTGAGTATGAAGTTCATAAAAAGGTTTTTACTAACTATTCCTTAGATACCTTTTGCAGATTTCTTAAATCATGATGGTGGCTCAGATTCATGTGTTTTGAATGATGATGGGAAACAACACTCTGAGGTTTAGTTTATCTATTCTGAAAATATTTCCTAACCTCCTCAGGTCATATATATATATATATATATATATATATATATATATATATATATATATAGAAACGTATCAGAACTTGAAGAGGACTTGTTTCTTAATGCTCTTTTTCTTTGTAGCATTTAGGATAAAGAAGCATGTGAAAACTATTTCTGTTTGGTTCACTAGTGTCTTTCCATTGGCAAAATTTATGTGTTTCAGTTCATATCAATGAAATATTCACTGCATGCCTCATTTTTACCTCATTTTTATAAGGCTTATAAGTTTGTTTCTTAAATCACCTTAATCCTTTGTTTTTTTTTTTTTTTTTGAAGTACAGGTGATTGCTGATCGTGATTATGCTCCTGGTGATCAGGTCTTGTGCAATAGAGTAGCCTAATAATCACACTCTTTCTTCTACAATTATAGAGGATTCATATGTTTTTATGTTGCGTTTTTCTAGTGATTCTTCAAAATCAAAACTCAAACTGGTGCTGTAGGAATGCCTCAATAATGTTTCAGTTGGGCAAATTCATGTTTATTAAGTCTTAAAATCTTAAAATTAGAGCATTTATGCAGCAACTGGAAATTCATCAACTTCTATTTAGTACTCTATGATTGCTCCTCATAACATTGATGAGATTATTTCATGCTGAGAATCATCTACTCTTTCGTACAGGTCCTAATAAGATATGGAAAGTTCTCAAATGCTACACTTCTTTTGGATTTTGGATTTGCCCTCCTTTATAATGCATATGACCAGGTTGGAACCCAGTCCCGACTCCTGAATGTGAAAATTTTTATTATACAAAGGATTCAATGAACTGCATAGCATCACTTGGCTCTATGCATTTGGTCTTAAGTCTTAACAACTACGAATTTCCATCATTAGACACCAATTCTTCTTTCTATCAATAGGTTATAACTTATAGTCATGAAAACTTACCCATCTTCTACTAATTAAAATGCCATCTTCATTCTATTTGCACAACACTTGGAAATTAGGTACATGGTCAAAAAGATGCAAAGGATCCAATTCACAACTTTGGGTTTTGTGTAGGACTTTATATGTAGTTTTATCTGATTGTGCCATCTAGTCCATCTAAAAAACAATTAGAATCTGTTTTCTGCTTTGAGAATTGGTGTTACTATTTTCATTGCTTCTACCTTATGTTTCTTCCATCACCCAGTTTTACCTCTTTGCTTTTTTATCTGCTTATCAGTTACTCAAAGCTTGATTCGATACAACTATATTATATGCCTTAGAGCAAATTACACTTTTGGTCCTGTGACTATTAGGGGTGTGTTAATTTGGGTACGTGACTTTTAAAATTAACAATTTAGTCCTTTAACTATCATTTTTTTAGCAGATTTGGTCCTCCTGGCCAAATTGACGGTGGAATTTGGCCGGAAAGACATTCAAATTTTTAAATCAAATATTAGTGGGGGTAATTCGGTCTTTTTAATTGTAAAAAAAATAGCGTTTGATTTAAAAATTCGAACGTCTTTCCGGCCAAATTCCACCGACAATTTGGCCTGGAGGACCAAATCTGCTAAAAAAATGATAGTTAAAGGACTAAATTGTTAGTTTTAAAAGTCACGTACTCAAATTAACACACCCCCAATAGTCACAGGACCAAAAGTGTAATTTGCTCTATGCCTTATTTGTAATTGCTTCTTTGTTCTTTCGTACTTTAACATAGTTGACATCAGTTACTCTCAGGTTCAAGTCAAACTGAATATACCTCAGCAAGACCATCTTTCTTCACTGAAGTTGGAACTTTTAAGCAAACATTGCACGCCAGCAATAAAAGATGTCAATGTATTCAATTCTGCTGGGAATTCTTTCACACTCAAGTTGGTACCTAGACATGTTCTTACAAATTGATGCCAATGGGCACCTTTATTCTGATTGTTTCAGCACAAGATGCATGCAATACACTTGACCACTAGTTGAACTCAGATAAAAAAGGGACATGAAATATAACCTGAATCAGCTATGAAAATGAAATATGTCTGACATGGTTAGTTGATTCAACAAAAATAGATGGCGGCAATAACTGAAATCTTTGAAATGATGGTTTAAGTGGTTATTACTATGTTTCACCTTGTTGCATATGACAGAGAATCAAACTAGAACATACAAAATTTTACTTCCCTATGCACAAATTCTCTGAACCAGAAAGGGGTAAACTCATACTCTGATCTTTGTCTGATTAATGATATGAATGATATGCACATTGACTAAAAATACATGCATTTATTTTATATCATTTATTACCTATGAAAGCAAGGCTGGCTTTAGCACAGTAGCATCCAAGATGTTTGCAATTGTAAGTACAATGCTCTTTTAGGTATTGAATAATGTAGAATCATCAAATCCAAGGGGAATGAGTATTTTACGGAGATTTGGCTGGTATTCTGAAATAGATTAGTTGTTAGAGATATGAGTTTCCCTTTTTGACATATACTCTTGTCTCTTATCTGTATTCTTGTCTGTAATTTTTTCCCTCCAGGGAAGTAAGATCTGCTCAAGGTAAAGGGAGAGGCATCCCACAGTCCTTCCGAGCATATGCTCGTGTTATGTGTTCAAACTCTCCTCAAGGTCTCAACTTATTATTTTGGTTATTCTGTATAAAGCACATCCTGTTAAATCCTAAATGATATTTGACTGGACCATTTTGTCATATTCAGAAATAAATGATTTGGCAATAGAAGCTGCAGAAAATGATGGTCGACTGGCTCGACGTCCACTTCGGGATAAATGTAGAGAAATTGAAGCTCATCAATTCCTGCTTTTGAGAATAACCGAGTTGATAAAATTGTATAATGCATCTATTAAGGTAATAACTATATTATGAAAATTTTAATTTTAATTCTAGAATCGTAATATAATTTGTTAACCTCTGAGCGAGGTGTGCCTAATGTTTTATATGCCATATTTCAATCCAGTCATTGGAGCTGCAGACTTCTCTCCGCGTGGTTAATAAGCCTGCCTGTAGATATATGATGGCTCATGACCTCCTCAGTGGTGAGCTTCGCATCCTAAAGTCAGCTGCTGAGTGGCTAGAAAACTATTGTGTAAAACTTTTGCAGGTCTAAGAGCAGTAACCTTTATTTTCCTACACTCGAGGTTGGGAGAAAGCTTGTCCAGCCAGGTGAGCCTAAACTTCATAAATCTATGCTACATGCTATTATTGCTTCGAAAATTACCTTGCCTGATGCTTACATAAATAAAACAGGAATTATCATGTCCATTCACAGTGAACCAAAACAGAGGCCTTATAGAACTTTTTGTACTTGTGCTCTTTCTACACCCTCTCAATGCTTACATGTGCCATGGTTCGGTTGTACATTTCCACAAAGGCACAAGTATACTTTGCTCGCTTGGTTCTCTTCCAAATGCCGAGGCCTCAGCTATTTTGCTTCACAGCGATTAGTGTTCTATATAATGCCCCAAACAATCTCTCAGAGATGCGATACTGCACTGCAACCAGACACCATCTGTTTTTGCTTGGAAATAGTCAGTGATTGAGAATCTGTCACCTGTTTCAGATAATAGATACTAATATGGGTATCCATTTAAATGTGGCAGATATACTTTAGCACTTGTCATTCCTCAAATTTTGATGTATGCATTTCAATTAACACTTTCTTTCTTTTTGTTTTATTAAAGTCATGACTCTGTTCCAAATTTGACTGAATTGTTTGTGTTGTATGTGTTTGATATTTGCGTATTATGTTGACAACAGAGAACATGTTGGATCACCAACTGGAAGCACATTGAAAATTGCAACTTAGCAAGTATTGCTTGGTGTAGTCTATTTGTTTGCTATTAGCGAAAATTACAGTAATTTGGGAAGTTACATTTTGGAACTTTTTTTGTTGAGAAGTTGAAGTTATGTATCTTTTTTCTGGGTGACAAGGAAATCTAGTCACTATCGAAGGGAGTTGTTATACCATGGACCAGAGTAATGTATAAATTGTGTATTTTTAGTAGTAGAATTGTGAACTTTTAGAATATAAATTGTGTTTTTAAGTCAAAACACATAACAACTGGAAAAGAAAATTTGTAAATACAATACAAGGTCATCAAATCCTAATCTGTTAATATTGTGACTGTAGTATTTGAAAGGAACCTGTGAATGCAAAACAAGATAATCAATTACATATATGTTAACATTATGTGTTCGTAGTATACAAATTGTGAATTTTTAAAAAGTAAAATTTGAATATTTAGTATGTAAATTGTGAACATTTAAATTCGGGTTTATCTTGCAATGTGGGCCTGGATTCACGGAATAATTTGCGTATTGAAAGTATGCATTTTATTTTTGTGTAATAACTTGCAAATCACATAAAAGAAATAAATCATATTAAGAAAATGTGTAACGGACTTACGGACTCGATCAAGATGTAACTTCTACTCATGTTGTTTTCTCATAAGAGTTTTGTATAAACTTTCCAAAATCAAGTTCATTAATTATAAATCCAAGCTAAAAACAATTTTCCTAAAGCAATACTTGCTATTTTCACAAGTTATGTGATTGATTTATTGAGAAGCTCACAAATTTTATTTGAGTGTTTGTTCTAAATGAAGCTACGGAGTACTTAAATTCAAGAAGTCAAACTCATAATTTAATTCAACGTATCAACAAAAACAAACCAAAAACAGTGATTGATGAATGGGCCTTTTACAAACTCCAAGCCCATTTCAACTAACTAAATAATTGGCCCATGCTTTGCCTATAAATTGAAGAGAGAGAGAGAGAGAGGAAGCTACTGGATTGTCTTCCTCTTTGAACGAAAAAAAAATCAAATCTAGGGTTCGTTAAAGCAGCGCATTCTTCAGGTATGCTGGCTGAGCTTCTGTCCCTTATCTTTTCCGTATATAGATATCTCAGTCTTCTATTTGTATGTCATATATCCATGAATTTATATCTATAGATAGATAGATGCGAACGGAATAGTTCAATTTTCATGTGGGTATTTCCTTTTAATCATGGTATTAAGTTGGTGATTTTCGAGCTCTGTTCAGGTCTATTTGCGATATTCAACTGTGCAATACCATTTTAGGTTATTTTTTATGTTACGTGCCGATGGACTGTGTATTATTATTATTACTATTATTATTGATATTGATTCTGTTTGATGGTTATTTAAGGGAAAATGCCTCGATATGATGATCGTTATGGAGGAACCCGCCTCTATGTTGGTCGCCTTTCTACCAGGACCCGTACTCGTGACTTGGAGCACATCTTTAGTAGATATGGGAGGTAATTAAGTTACTTTTAGGTTCTTTTTCTTGATTGCCTATTTTCTGGAGTTTGGACTTCTAAGAGTTTTATTAGAGTTGTAAGTGCCAGGCTTGATGGTAAAATTTTTACCTTTATTTTCCAAAGTAATTTTCTTCTCTTTGAAATTTGAGTATCTTGTTTTGTGTGAGTATACCACTTCTGTGTGATAGAATAGATGTTATTCTGGTTTGTTACATGTTAGTGGTCTTGTTGTTTTGGGATTTTTTCTGTGGCGAGGACTCCATGTGGAGAAGAACCATGTAATTGTGAAGCCCATTGTTGTGCTTGGCATTTCTATTAAAAAATGCATCTGAGGGAGAAAAGTTGTCCCATTTTCTCAGTTTTTTAATTTGAATGATGTTTCTGAAGGTTTGTGTTTTTGCCCAACCTGGAGGTTTGTGGTGGGAGGTTGCCCTTGGTGGAATTGGTCGCTATTCTTGCTCTGAGAGTGGCCATTCTTTCTATAATGTTAATGCGTGTTTTTTTGATGGAAATGGCAACAATCCCAAAGTGGTGTTTAGTTCATCTTTGAGTGGCGAAGTATCAACCCTTGGTTGTTATGACTTGATGGCCTTATTGTTTCTGGAACCAATTTACGCAGAGTACGTGATGTGGATATGAAGCGCGATTATGCTTTTGTGGTACGCAATTCTTCTCTTTGCAACTTAAGATTGTGATTTATCAGATGTGACTAAAGCTGTCATCTGTATCATGCTATGCTAACCATGATATGAGTTTTTTCCTACCTCTTTTGTTGAATTGGAAAATACAGGAATTTAGTGATCCTCGAGATGCAGATGATGCCAGGTATAGCTTAAATGGACGGGATGTTGATGGGAGCCGCATTATAGTGGAGGTTGCCAAGGGGGTGAGATTCAAGTGCTAATAGATTGATTGCATATTATCATTTATTTTTGTCTTTTAATTATCCCCATTGTGATACTTTGCAAATGCATATGGTGTAGTGTGGTCAACTAGTTATACTATGGTCATATGGTGTATATAGAGACGTTGATGTCATATTGTGGTTTACTCAATCTCCATTTGTTTGCTTCTAGGGAAAATTTTTCTTTGGCTTGTGTCCTGTCTTATAGGTATTTTGGTTCTTGAGATGTGCAATAGAAGTATATGGAATATTATATTTGTTTTCTTCATCGTGCAGAGTACCTTGGCTTTTTGATATGCTATGTTGTGTCTTTTCTAACCTTCTAACCTCCATTTCTGAGTCTTCATAGATATCATTTTCTTTGATCATAGGTACCTCGAGGACCTGGTGGATCTCGTGAATCTCGTGAATTTCTAGGCCGAGGTCCTCCTCCAGGAACAGGGCGTTGTTTCAATTGTGGACTTGATGGCCATTGGGCTCGGGATTGCAAGGCTGGAGACTGGAAGAACAAATGCTATCGTTGTGGGGAGCGAGGACATATAGAAAGGAATTGTCCAAACAGCCCTAAGAAGCAGCTCAGGTTTGATAGTAGTGCCAGTCACATACACATTTTTTTGACATAACCAAAGTGGATATTCTGCTGACTGATGAATAATTGTGTTGCAGTGGACGTGGACGCAGTTACTCTCGCTCACCATCTCCCCGCCGTGGAAGGAACCGAAGCCGTAGTTACAGCAAGGGCCGTAGTTACAGGTTCTCTTGTCTGTTTCCCTCTCCCATCCCTGTTTTTAAATTGAAATTATTTGGTCTTTCAAAGTCACAAGTCATAGTAGTTACAGATTAGTTGCAGGTTCTTTTAACTTATACCATGTTATATCTGAATCCATTTATTTTATTGAAGGCATAGCAGGTTTACACTGTATAATCTTGTCAATATGTTTTTTTTTTTTTTTTCTACAGCCGATCCAGATCACCTGTGAATAGGGAGAGAAGTGTTGAGCGTGAGGAAAGAAGGTCCAGGAGCCCAAGGCATAACAAGTCATCTCCATCTTCACCAAAGGGACGAAAGCGTAGCCCCACACCTGATGAAAGAAGCCCCCAAGAGAGAGGAACACCATCCCCAAGGGACAACAGGCCAGTCAATGGCGGTTCAGAGTATGACAGGAGCCCCAAAGAGGAAACCGAAAGGGATGACCCAAGATACGATGATGAGAAGAACATCAGTCCTCAGGAAGAAAACGATCGCAGTCGCAGCAATAGCCCTATCCCTAGGGATAATGGAAGCCCCATAGATGACGATGACAAGAACGGTTCTCCAAGGGCCAGCATGTCACCTTAATTCACCCAGTTTTATTTTTCATGTTGCAGATATGTATAAGTTGAAGGTGTTTGAACCAATAACATTTTGTTTTGTTTTGTTTTTTTTTTTTTCCAGGACTGTTAAAACAAATTCATCTTTTTTAATTGTAGGAAACGTGAAATAATTTGCTGTAATTTGAATTTGGAGTTCCTTTGAGCAATAACATTAAGGGTGTGTTTGGTTGATAGGTTTAGCTCTAAGGAATGGGTATTAAAGTGATTGGTATTGTTTGGTTGATAGGTTTTTAGCACACTATTATGGGTTTCAAATATCTCCTTAATTGAAAAACTCTGGTAAAGGTATCATCCTCTTTCATTCCCTTATTCATTTTCATCCCCTTTGATTAGTGTTTTTAGATTTTTGTTTTATTTTTTTTTTTGTTCATATGGGTGTTTTGGATGTCTTTATATTAGAATCAATTGTATTGATTTTATGTTCTTGTATTTTTAAAATCTTTATTCTCATTATAAGATCATACATAACCAAACAGCATTATTGATAATTATTCCCATTTCACCTTACTACCAAACATGCAAAATACTTTAACTAAAATTTATTACCATTACTAAGTATTTGATACCCATTCTGAATTCTCATGTGAACCAAACACACCCTAATTTTAACCATGGTTTGCTTTAAGGGTAGTGCAGCGCAAGTTGTTCCATCTTTAATGCTCCTTTTTGTGGAATAAAATTGAATTGGTAATTTAACAAATATCAATGGATTTGGAGTGCTCAAATTTTCTTGTTACCAATGCCCTTGTCTGTTCTCTCTATCAATGAAGTAGTAGCCAGTAGGTCAGAAAAACTCCAATAGGGTCGGTTTTGCTTCGAGTTAAATGCATTCAAGTTGTTACATATTTTTAATATGTGAATTAATATTATTTGCAATATTCCAAATAAAAGGGAGAGGAATAATCTAATTTTTATTATAAAGTAGTCATTACTTTTAGAATATAGAACTTTTGATTTACAAAAGTGTCTTATGTAAAAATATAAAATGTTATATGTACTCTCATTTTCTATTCAACTTTTACTCCCACACACAGAAATATAGCACTTTGATTAATGAGAAAATTTGTCACTATTACCCGAAACTAGGACTTGACATGAACCTTGTATGCACTACACAAACTCTATGAAACACAACAATAGGCATATGCTCAGGATTTCGCCCCGTGCTTTCTAGTGTGTCATCAATCATCATAGCAAAACTTTTGCCTGGTAAACTAGCACACAAAAGCACTAATTAGCAAAACATGGAGACTGGCAGATACATATCTGATAAATGAGATAATTCACAGCACAATGAACACTATCAAACTGTTGCAGTAATAGTGGAAGCAATTTCTGCCACAAAATAACAACAGTTAAATAAATACCCACTAATTACAGGCAAAGTTCATTATGTACATGTGATATGTTAAGACACAGAGTATAAAGTTCAAAGAGTAAGACCCCTAAAGCATTTTTGCAGGAGCTGATTTGAGCTGGTCCAAAGCAGTTGTCAGAATATTAAGGAACTTCCCCAGATTTCACTGGACAAACCAGCTGGGAACAATTCACTCATGAAATATATGCCTTCACTAGATCTGTATAGTTGCAGGTGAAGCTGGTACGGGGGCATGTGATTCTTCCGTCATTTTTCTTGGCCATATCTTCAAGTGCCTGTCGGCATTCATACAAGTCAGATTACACATCAAGAAGTTACCAAAGTTACAAGTTCACACCTAATGAAGCACTACCTTAGTGCTGTAGACATAGCCATTGGGCAAGACAAGCGGTGGGTTTTCAGTATCCATTAACTCCTTTGTTATATAGCAAACGAGTTTTGAGTGATGCTGTTTTGAGTATGGTAGTGGTTGTGCTAATTTGCGGAAACTCTCCTGTGACAGGGGGTCCTCCTTTGTACAATCATCTTCATAACAGAGTCTATATTTGGTCAAGACAAACATGTATATAATACATTCCTAATTTTTCTTTTTTCCACATCTTTTATTGTCTTGTCTTCACAGGAAAGTGATACTACTGCATGTCAGCATGTGATTAGCATTAGATTTCCACAAACCATGTGGCATGTTTCATGCAATAAAGCCCAACACTCACTGATTAGGAAAAGAAAGTTCAGAAGATGCACTCTGAAATGAATATACTGTGTTAGATAACCCAAAAAAATAGTCATATGGATACGGAGTTTTCAATGCAGAAAGGCCTGCTTGAAGGTATATATTCAGCAATGGCTCAAGAGTCATGCCATATAATTTGCAAAACTCCTGTTTGAATTGGTCAACTAGGTAATCCCATTGCTTTGCGTCAAATAGAACCTGCAGATAAGTGATTATTCAAGCATAAAAAATACTCCGTATCTTCCTTGGTGGACTGGTAAGAGGGGAATAAATTAGATCTTCAGATAATTATTAACATGATCCAATTTCAGTTGAAGTAAACATAGATTAACAGCCTACTAATCCAGTAAACAAGATAGTCTACAGTGGGGAAGCAATCTCTTCTCTTTTATATAGAAAAATTGTTGAAGGAACTGTTTGAGATGTTTATTCTCTTCAGCATGAATCAATATATTAAATCTTCAATCATAGAAGTCCATGAGAAAAAGGTGCATACCTTGTATATTGCACATTCAGTATTACTCCTAAAAGCAAGTGTGGCCATGACCCTCTGCAACTCTTTCATATGGGTAGATCCCCAAGGTGCCAGATACTTCCGAGCATATGTGATAGCTCGCATCATGTTTTCAGCTCTTACCATCTCTATAAACTCTTGCAGTCTCAACTGAAATTCAAATTTGCTCTGCCATCACAAAAATAATTTATCATCAATTGCTTTTGACATTTCGTTGCCAAATGCAGCAATGAAATTTACCAACAGCAGATTGGAACTGTTTTTCAATGGGAGATAACAAAAAGCACTAAAGCAAAAGCAGAATATTCAGCATCTATTACGCTTCAGTACTTCACCAAGATTAAGCTGCATTGCAAGGACTTGATTTATTGGGTCTGCTCTCTATGCAACTACTGTTACTATAATAGAATGTATAATCACCCTTGATGCTGTTTAAACACATAATTTCAAGATATATATAGAAACAACAGAGCCTATCTTGTGCTTGATAACAATAAAGACACATTTTTTACTCCTAACATGCAACATTAGGCACATTATCCATTTGTTGCTCTATTCAATCTGTTTGAATCTAACCGGACCGAACAACCCGAATCTATGCGGTTTATATTCTCTTTTATATTTTCAATGGGGGACTCTTAACAGACTGAAATATCAAATTCTTTAGGCTAACCAAACCCCTTTTGCATTAATTAACTCAAACACGCATGAACAATGTTGGAGATGCCACTAATGTGGTGGCGACTTTAAGCAAACCTTTTCCTGCTTCATGACTTCACACTGAACATTATAAAGTTCACTAAGAGAACAAGATCATTATGCGAGGCATAGTTACTGGATTATTCAGATTAGGAGAGTAGCAAGGTCATAGTCAGAAAGCTTTGGAGACAAATGCTTAGTCATATGACTCTAGTTGATTTATGAAAATCTCTGGTACAATTAAGTTATCCATTCAAAACACTCTAAGTCAATAACCCAGCAAAACAACATAGTAGAAATACACCAAGTAAACATTTTGAACTATATGATCAAAAGTAAGCTGAAGTAACCAAAATAGGTCTATACCCATACCTTTGATTTCTTCAGCCTGGACTTGTTATCTACACACCATGCCAAAGCAGGGGCTACCTCCTTGTTATGGAGAGCATCAATGACCTTCTTTGCTTCAAGAAATACATCAATATCAACAAGGTCCTGGTACAGAAAATAAAAAATCCAGTTACCATCACAGACCATCTTTGCATTGGAAATGCATTCGTCAACCAACAAAATGACCAAAGATGTAAGAGCAATTCCAGGGCCAAATTACCTCAATGTTGCTACTTTCAGCAAACTTTGTAGCAGTATCATAGTAAGACATCCTCAACATATAATCCACCAGTATACGTTTCAAGCGGGTGCGATTCCAATCTGATAAATTCTCCACATCCATTGATTCTAGGTGGTCAAGCCGTGCTCGACATCTCTGTGCTTGCAAGTTCTCCATTCTACCACTTTCTTCCAACTGATTATTCACAAATAAACAACTTATAAGCAATGTAATTAAATATTTAATATTTGAAAAGACAATCACTTAACTAAATTTACTATAGTAAACTAACATAGCATATCCTCATAAACTAATAGAATTCAATTTTTTTAGGTGGCACAAAATATTGTTGTGCACAAACCGGAAAAATAACACCGAGCCTTGGCTAGGTTGTTGGCCATCCTACATTCCGACTAGCAGTGCATATAGGTTATGTATTATATCTTTCCATCATAATGTCTTTATATATCATGATCTCAATCAATACCGAATTAACGAATTTCATACAGATACCTTCCGTTTAAGACCTTGCAGCCTGGAGACAAGAGAATTGAGGCGTTGAGCGGCTTCATCGCCAGATAAGTCAGAGTCAGTGGCGTCTCCGACTCCAGATATGACGGCAGAGATTTCTTTCTCGACGATGCGGTGGTTGGAGCGGATCGTCTTCTTGTAGTGCTCGAAAGGGACGCGGAGGAACTGGTGCTCCAGTTTCAGGGACTCCGTTAGCTGGCTCAGCTTCGACGAGGGTGCGGCGGGGGAGGGAACAGCGGGAGTGGCGGCGGTGGAGGTGGTGCTAGTGGTGGAGGGCGGGGAGTTGCCGCCGGGAACCGTTTCCATTTCCATTTGTGAAGCTCAGATCGCACTGATTGAGAACGAGGGAAGACAGATCGGTAGGTTTGTGTCTAAGCAAACCAAGAGAATCAGATAATAGAGTATACCCTACGACGACGTCTTGGCCCCCTTCTCGCCCCTTTTTTCCCCTTCCTTTTGTGTTTTATAACAATTTGAAAATCATTTATTTATTATTTGTTAGATGACGATAAAACTTTAAAATTGTTAATGTATACTAGTATTTGCGCCCGTGCGATGCACGGAATAGATTTGTTGTAATATATTAAGAATATTTGGATCGATATATAATTATTTAAATTAGAACATTAAATATTATATAGTGCGATGCACGAAATGTATTCGTTATAATATATGAATTGTAATTTGCTTCATATTCGATAGTGTA